CAAAGAAAGCAGTAAAATAGACCCCCCCCCCCCCCAAGATCAATGGACCCCTGCTACTAAATACCACAATAGACCCCTAGCAGTAGGAACCGATCTGCCAGCATCAATCCACTCACCAGCAGCAATAGGCTCCCTCCCTCAACAGTAGATCCCTTCCAGCAACAACCGACCATCAACAATAGACCGCCAAGCAAAAATAGAGCAGTTGGCATCAATAGACCTTTCAGCACCCCTTGCCATTACATACATTCAGTGCTGGAAAGGCCAGAACTGCATTCCCACTGGGAACAAAGCCTTGCCATTATGTAGTATTAAACTGCATACCTGTAGGTAAAAATGAACAATGTGAGGACCTGAACAGAGGAGCAGTGATGTGGAGGAACAGAGATCACATTCTCTGCCTTGTTCCATCAGGTCTTCTAAACCTAAAACTAGTGTAGCATTTGTCTCCGAAGGAGCTGCTGAGAATATGCCCAGGTCCTCCCAAATTGTACAGAGGTTGCCAGTTGCACAAGCACAGTCCCATGCACACTGAAAATTGGAAGCTTCTTTCAGAGGCATGCGATAGTATTTAAATTCTCAGCTCAGGATACCATAGGCCAATGCAATCAATCACTGCTTCATTCACTACAGTGGAGCCAAAAACGTAACGTACCAAGCAGCCTAACTAGAGGCAAGTGCTACATTGGGATGGCCTGATGCACAAGTAGCAGTTTCCTCTTGCATTAAGCAGCTCTGCCCACTGATTTTATAGCCAATCCAGTGGATTTGTATTTACATTTCCATTGCCCAGTTATGTTAGGAAACCTATTACTGTAAATTCTTCTAAGGCTTTGTATTTGAAATCGCTAGAAATTTTGCTTGCTGATTACACATGCAGGAAGCAGGGAAATGTTTGTTCACTGCAGAAACTGATTTGAAATGGAACCATGCATGCACTGCATACCTGTTAGCCCTCATTTGGGGGGGAGACCAAAGAGCTGTCCAAGGACACCAGAAACAAAATTGTAGACCTGCACTAGGCTGGGAAGACTGAATCTGCAATGGAACCATGCATGCACTGCATACCTGTTATCCCTCATTGGGGGGGGGGGGGGGGGGGGGGGCTTTGACAAATGTTTAGGATATTGCACTAAACCTGCAGGTAAAGAAGATAATCTGAACCTTTGCTAAGTGGAAGAGTGGGTTTGATAAAGTTGGCATTTCCTCCACCCAGGATAGGGCCTTTGAACAGAGGGATTTCTCTTCCTGAGAAATTAACCAGTAATTTTGGAGAATTGGAACTAATGCAACCAGCATATAACCTTTAGCCATAAGTATACAGAGGTACACCAGTGTGGAAATAATGCAGGCTTTATATAAGAAAAGATTATTGGAGCATACATTCAATATACAAATGGGTATGATCATCAGAGGGCCCAGAAGAGTCCTTGTGGTATTGTGCACATATACAGTACCCAGGTATATAAAGTTAGTTATTAGTGATATGTCCATATAAATGTTTAAGCAAAGGGGCCCCTAATGATGATCATGATGTGGCATTCGTCTTGGTGTCCGTGACATGAAGCCAAGATCAGTGGTGATGAAGACTCTCCGGCTGTTTGAAAAGCTGCATTCCAGGTTAGTTGTCCATCAGCAGAGACCGTGGTGTGGCGCTGGAACTCAGTTAGCCTAATATTCTGCATCTTTAATCCCTAATAGTTTCTAATCTGCCATGCAACCGGACCTCTGATCTCCAGAAGTGGCCATCCTAACCTGGCTCTAGCCTATGCTGATTATTTAGCCATGAGCTGAAATTGGTTATCGAATCGAAGACCAGAAGGGACAGGGTTAACTTGCATAACAGGAGCTGCAAACAAACTATATTGCAATAAACAGGTTCACCTGCTAATATATTGGAAGATGACCATTACATACTTTACAGTAGCGCAGACCTAGCCATCTGGCACTGTGCATGAGGGCGAATAGCAGGACAGAGGTATACAGTGGGGCAAAAAAGTATTTAGTCAGCCACCAATTGTGCAAGTTTTCCCACTTAAAAAGATGAGGCCTGTAATTGGCATCATAGGTATACCTCAACTATGAGACACAAAATGAGAAAAAAAATCCAGACAATCGCATTGACTGATTTGCAAAGAATTTATTTGCAAATTATGGTGGAAAATAAGTATTTGGTCACCTACAAACAAGCAAGATTTCTGGCTCTCACAGACCTGTATCTTCTTCTTTAAAAGGCTCCTCTGTCCTGCACTCACCTGTATCAATGGCACCTTTTTGAACTTGTTATCAGTATAAAAGACACCTGTCCACAACCTCAAACAGTCACACTCCAAACTCCACTATGGTGAAGACCAAAGAGCTGTCGAAGGACACCAGAAACAAAATTGTAGACCTGCACCAGGCTGGGAAGACTGAATCTGCAATAGGCAAGCAGCTTGGTGTGAACAAATCAACTGTAGGAGCAATAATTAGAAAATTGAAGACATACAAGACCACTGAACATCTTCCTCGATCTGTGGCTCCATGCAAGATCTCACCCCGTGCGGTCAAAATGATCACAAGAGCGGTGAGCAAAAATCCCAGGACCACACGGGGGGGACCTAGTGGATGACCTGCAGAGAGCTGGGACCAACGTAACAAAGGCTACCATCAGTAACACACTATGCTGCCAGGGACTCGGATTCTGCAGTGCCAGACGTGTCCCCCTGCTTAAGCCAGTACATGTCCGGGCCCGTCTGAAGTTTGCTAGAGAGCATTTGGATGATCCAGAAGAGGATTGGGAGAATGTCAGATGAAACCAAAATAGAACTGTTTGGTAGAAACACAACTCGTCGTGTTTGGAGGAGAGATAATGCTGAGTTGCATCCAAAGAACACCATACCTACTGTGAAGCATGGGGGTGGCAAAATCATGCTTTGAGGCTGTTTCTCTCCAAAGGAACCAGGATGACTGATCCATGTACAGGACAGAATGAATGGGGCCATGTATCGTGAGATTTTGAGTGCAAACCTCCTTCCATCATCAAGGGCATTGAAGATGAAACGTGGCTGGGTCTTCCAACATGACAATGATCCCAAACATACCGCCTGGGCAACGAAGGAGTGGCTTCGTAAGAAGCATTTCAAGGTCCTGGAGTGGCCTAGCCAGTTTTCAGATCTCAACCCCATAGAAAACCTTTGGAGGGAGTTGAAAGTCCGTGTTGCCCAGCGACAGCCCCAAAACATCACTGCTCTAGAGGAGATCTGCATGGAGGAATGGGCCAACATACCAGCAACCGTGTGTTCCAACCTTGTGAAGACTTCCAGGAAACGTTTGACCTCTGTCATTGCCAACAACGGATATATAACAAAGTATAGAGATGAACTTTTGATATTGACCAAATACTTATTTTCCACCATAATTTGCAAATAAATTCTTTCCAAATCAGCCAATGTGATTGTCTGGATTTTTTTTTTCTCATTTTTTTGTCTCTCATAGTTGGTCTACCAATGATGCCAATTACAGACCTCTCATCTTTTTAAGTGGGAGAACTTGCACAATTGGTGGCTGACTAAAAACTTTTTGATCTGAATCCTTGTGACAGATACAGTGGGGCAAAAAAGTAATGGGAAGCTACAGAAAATGGCCAGAACACAGGAATAATTGTCTAATGGTCTCTGCTTCAGGCTTGGATAAAAGACAACAGCAGCTCCTGTATGTGTACATATGGCCTTCAAAAACCTCTCTAATCTGCCTTCCTCTGTGGGGTTTTTAATCCATCCAGCAGGGACAGGAAGTAGAGGACAGCAGATCCCTACACCTGCATCATTGAATAAGGTAAGAACCTTAGGAACCAATAGCTTTGTGGATATCACAGGCCTGGAAGCTTTCAGTAACTCGTATAGAACCTTACAAACTGGGTAGAATAGTTTTATTAAATTACCTTTCCTGATTTATACAGAATAAACAAGTAAGTTAACTACTTAAAGTGGACCTGATCTCAAAGTGACCAAGTGAACGAGTTACTGTGGTTTTTATAGGGAGCATCTAGATTAGTGCATTGTGACTAAACGGTAGCCTCTAACTGTGTGAATATAAGTGTGTGTGTATGTATATATATGTGTGTGTGTATATATATGTGTGTGTATATGTATATATATAATATTCTATACACCCACTGTATTGGGGAAACCCCTCCAAATCATTGAATTCAGGTATTCCAATCACCTCCATGGCCACAGGTGCATAACTTCAAGCACCTAGGCATGCAAACTGCTTCTACAAGCAGTAGTTGTCTGACTGCATTGTGTAGTTTGGAGGGGGGATTATGGTGTGTGTGTGTGTGTGTGTGTGTGGGGGGGGGGGTTTATCAAAGGTTGGGCTTGTCCCCTTAGTTCCACTGAAGGGAACTCCTTAAGGAGTCAGTATACCAAGACATTTTGGACAATTTCATGCTTCCAACTTTGTGGGAACAGTTTGGGGATAGCACCTTCCTGTTACAACATGACTGTGCACAAAGCAAGGTCCATAAAGACATGGATGAGCGAGTTTTGGGTGAAGGAACTTGACTGGCCTGCACAGAGTCCTGACCTCAACCCAATATAACACCTTCGGGATGAATTAGAGTGGAGACCCGAGCCAGGACTTCTCGTCTGGCATCAGTGCTTGACCTCAAAAATGCGCTTCTGGAAGAATGCTCATACATTCCCATAGATGCACTCCTAAACTTTGTGGACAGCCTTCCCAGAAGAGTTGAAGCTGTTATAGCTGCAAAGGATGGGCCAACTCAATATTGAACCCTAGGGACTAAGACTGGAATTCCATTAAAGTTCATGTGTGTGTGTGTAAAGGCAGGCGTCCCAATACTTTTGTGTGTGTAATCTAGGCAAAGCCCTGTCTTTACTACGATGGCCACCTTTACCCCAAGATATAGTGAAGAACAAGGTATGGCAAGTCTGTATCTGGGAAAGCTGTAAGGAGCCCACATGCAATATTGGTGACTAATCATTTTAACTGTGTTTCTCTTTGTTAGGTGGGCTCTTTGGTTCTTTAAAAATGTCAGAAGCCAGCCATGGCAGTGTAATTTACGTCTTGTGACAACATTCAACACAGTGGAAGACTTCTGGGCGTATGTATATCAAAGCACTGTAGTCCATTTATAATCAAGCATCCACTTTGTATATCCATATATATATATATTATATATATATATATATTTAAATATATATATATATATATATATATATATATATATAATTTTCATCTGATTTGTTCAGTTTGCATTTATTTGATTCCATGTCTTTTTGATATACTAAATGGAATGTGTTTTACTACAGACAGGGTTGAACATGAATGGGAATTGAGCACAAGACTTTGCCTATGCCTTATGCCTGATGCACATGTTGTTGTGTGGGGGGGTTTTTTTTTTTTTTTTTTTTTCTTTTTTTTTTTTTTTTCCAGCAGATTTGAATGGGGGGGGGGGGGGGGGGGGGGGGGGGGGGGGGGGGAGTGATCACTGTACTAGCCAAGCGATGTCTCTCCTACTATGCCTTTGTGTTCTGACAGGGGGGACTTTTCCTGTCCAATATTCGGACTGTGTGCACCCAGCGTTTGAAACAATCATCCTTTTTAAAAATTACCGTCATTTAGTCTGAGTTTAGGGAGAACTGTTTGAGAGATAACTTGCCAATAAATGCCAATAAAGTAACTGGCCGGTCTCTCCAAGTGCAAAAATTTATGGTAAGACCATTGTAACTGTTTGTCAGCGGTAGTAGTGAGGGTTAGGTTAAGTTCTAATCGGGCTTGGTCAAGTTTTAACCAATAAATCCGGATTCTGTTTGTGTTGAGTAACAAGGTCAGTGTATACTTGAGTTTTAGTTCAAATGAAATCATTATGAGCTTGTTTAAGTCGTGAGGAGAGTTTGAATAATAAACCCCCTGACCGAGGCCTTATGGGCTGCCCAATTAATAGCCAGTTTCGTATATCTGCTTTATTGATTTCAAAGTACATTTGGAGATGTGAAGAGATATGCTGACAATAGGAAGCATTGCCCAAAATAGATTCGTTAAGGCGCCACTGAGGAGCAGTCCTTCCATGAGCCTAGGACAAAAGTGTTAAAAAAAACAAAAAAAAAAAAAACGGATCGTGATTGGACCAAGGTGTGGAAAGGATTTTAGCTGCAAGTAGTCTGGGAAATGAATGTGTATGGAGGAATATATGATCCATACGAGAATTACAATTGTGAGCAATTGTAAGATCATAACGAGTTCAATAAATGAAGAAATTCCACCTGATTAGTATTTGGAGCATAATAAATCAAAAAAGTGAGTAGGTTTCCGTTCAAGTGGTCTTTCACCAGAAGATAGTGTTCCTCCCGATCCCGGATAATTTTAGATTAAGTAAACGACAAAACTGCGGGATAAGCAAAGGGCAACCCCTCGTTTCTTTTCCTTGGCATTAGCAAAATAACAAAGGGGATAGTCTTTATGAACATATCGTGGGGTAAATGAAGGGAGAAAATGTGTCTCCTGTAGGGCTACTATATCCGCCCCAAAAGAGCGGTATGAATTAAAGGCCTTAATATGTTTTGGAGGGAGAATTGAATCCCTGAACAATATGAGAAAGTAGTCGGAGGACCCCGCTGTTGGACCGCTGAGAAGACATAGTCAGCAACTGATGTACTATATACGAAGGGAGCCAACAGCTCCCTGAACATCGGAATTGTCCAGAAAAACCAGAAATATGGGCGGCTGACCCTCAAGAAAGAGGGTCAAGGAAAATACAAGTAAAAAGAGACTCTGGATACAAAAATCCTTGTTTCGAGTAACAAATGGTATTCCACAGAATACAGTCACTTCAAACCAGTATACCAACAATACCAGGACTAAAGCCCTGTAAAGGAATGGATCTACCCAGAGAAACAACTCGGGAGAGTCTTTCAAATCAAGGAGGGCCCATAGACGCTCCCTGGAACCAACAAAAACCCACTATTAATATAGTGCAATATTAGTCACTAAGCCCCATAATACTGCAGTCAGCAGACGGACATGTTGCAGCCTCACAGATAGCAAGGGGATAGAAAAAAAAAAAACCTTTAATTGTAGATCCTAACCCCCCTCCCTCCCATTCCACCCAAAACACCTGAATAATGGCGATGCCCTTGATACCTTTCACAGGATTTTTTGGGTGTGGTTTGAGTGTTGGCTAGGACACAGGCTCCATAATTTCCTATTGCCCCATGAGTTGTCAGGATGCCTCTGCCTACTATACTTCATGACCGCTTCCTTGAACTGGAAAAAATATGGTTTAACAATATCTCTAGGAGGCCCCCCCCCCCTGTCTGGGGGAGGGATCAATGCTCTATGTATACGATCAATTTCTGTATGAAGGTCATCGTTATCGGGCATTGCGGCTCGCATGAGGGATTGGGCGCAGCTATTGAGCTCTTTGACTGACACAGGGAGCCCTCGGATACGGAAACTGTAGCCCTAGCCCGGTTTTCCAGATCATCAATTTTAGAGTAAGCTTCCTCCAACCGATCTGGTAAGTCTGTAATCATATTAGAATTTTGGGATACATTATGGACTGTCGTATTAACTTTAGATTCAATATTGTCCAGGCATTGGCCTAATTCCTGAAAATCTTGCTTGAGAGCCGCCGCCAATTTAGTAGTAGCTCTATCCAATTCACGTTGTAGTAAATCGGCAAAATGAACGATTAGGGTCGCATCTCCGGAATATTGTGGAGCCAGAGGGATTGCTAGCGAATGATCAGGACTATCGGAGTCAGGTTCCAAACCGCTGCTCTGGCTGAAAGAGAGCTGCCCTCTCGTTATCTAATGGAGAGGAAGCAAGAGAATTATGGTCTAGTGAACAGGCCGAAGCCTGGGACTCGGGTAGTGCAGGGTTGGAGGAGACTGGGGGGGGGGGCCGAGGAGGGTCGCTCACCCTGGAAGATGATGCCACCGCTGTCTGGTCCCGGCCAGTAGAAGTGGTATGGCCCATCTTCACCCTCTGAGGGAGAGGTGCTGGCTGTGCAGAGGAGGTGACATGGGCCATGGAAGCTAAGCCAGGCGCCATCTTGGATCACCTGCTCACCGCAGGGATCGGGTGCTGGGAGCTGCCACGGCTCCTCCCTTCTGGCATGATTCCATCCCGGCATGATATGGATGCCCCAGGGATCTGGTCTAAGACCAGGCGAGTCCCGGGATTGAGGAGACTCTGTGCCCATGTATGGGCTTGTGTAATGCCGGGGGTGTGCGGAGCTATGGCCGGGACATGTGTGCCAGCCGCCCGTGCATGCACACACCTCAGCTAAGATGTTTAAATGAAAGCAGTTCCTGATGCAACTAGAAGGGGCAGTTATTACCCAATTACACAGAGAATGCTTGAGGGGGGCTAACCCTAATTCGCTTGCAAGTGTCCATGCAATGTGACCAGTCCTCCAAACACAGTATAAATGTGCTTGTATAAGTGTTCCAAATTCCAGTGCTGCAAATATCCACCTCCTAAGTGCAGTGCCTGCTCACCTTGATAGTGGACCTAAAATAAAAAAAAAATGGGCCATACAGCACTTGAATAAGTATCCTTCTGTGGATCAGCCTCTGGCTCTTTGCAGCCACTTCCACATGTGGTTCCTTTTTTTGAGACCTCACCATGCTGTTTCCAATGTGAATCAAGCTCAAAAAAGGGGAATAGCAAACAAATAGCGCTGCCTGTATATTGAATAAAAAAACGATTTATTCTACTACATATGCACTCACAATGATATAATAAAATACAGCATTGAATACAACTGAAACAGTTTTCTCACCAAACTTCATGTCAGGAAATTGTTATCTAGATTCACTAATCATGTGACTTTCTCAGGGTAGATCAAGGATTTTGCCACTAAGGGGTCAGAATGAGGGAGATACACTGCATATATGTGTTGTGTGTGTTTGTGTTTTTTTTCTGATGACTATCCATGACTTCTGTCCCTCAGACTCTACACAAATATCCAGCTAGCAAGCAAACTGTCCTCTGGGTGTGATTACTCAATATTTAAGGTGAGAGCATAAAGCCAGACATGCAGTAAATGATAAAGTAAACATTTCATGAGCAAAATGGAGGTTGATATTGTGACTTCCTTCTGACCTCCATAAGGTGTGTCGCAGACAGGGGCGAACTGACCATTTGGAAACTCGGGCACTGCCGAGGGGGGGTCAGTAGGGGGCCCCATGAGATGCCCCTGGTACTTTTACTTTTTTTTTTTTTTTCATAGGCTTTTTTGAGTTTGGGCAAGGACACAGGGGTCCCATGATCCCCCTATTTCCCGGGGGCCCCATGAGTTTTCAGTCCACCCATGGTCACAGACTTGGAAAAAAAGGTGTAATGCTGGCCATAGATGGGTAGAATTTTGAACAAAATTTCTTAGGAAAAGAATGTTCTTCGATTTAAGTCTTTCGAACGACATTCAATAGTTCTGAGAATTTTGGACAAATTTTCCAAATATTTTTTCATTTGAAATTTCTATCCATTCATGACCAGCTTTAGTCAGAAAATCTGCATACCTGTGATTTTAGTTTCACATGGAGAGTGTTTGGAATGAAACAGATATCTCCCATTTGCAAAAGCAGAGGTCCACAGTTGCAGCCTCCATTCTTCTCTCTTGACAAATTGAATTAGTATTTGATGGTTTAGAAATCTTGACCTCAAACCTGCTTCTGTTCCTTCTGCTGGAGGGACAAAAAGGAATGCCTCCTTTTTTGTCTGATGCTATTTACTGACACGTTTTGGAGCTCCTATCATACAGCCCTTTTCTGTTTTAGACTCGGGTAGACCTTTATTGTCAAGAGAAGTAATTGATGGAACCAACACTCAAATTCTATCAGGAGGGGCAAACCTCCAAAAGACAGACAAATGTTTTTTGTTCAAGATGCTTTGACAATAGTGTGTTTATTTAGTGGGAATTAGGTCATTGATAGAACTTTTTGCATCGGGGTTCTAATACAAGCACCTCTGTGTGGTTTGGTGTTTGTTTTGTGTATGGTGTGTGTGGGTTTTTTTTTTTCTTAGAAGTTATAAGCTGAGTAAAAGGGCTCAACAACCATATAGCATTGGCTGGCTAAGACTGCTACTCTGGTGCTGCACGCTTGTTCCATGTATTACATCTGTTATCTCACCAAACATGGTTTTTACTAAATATTATAGATGGATAGCTTGCATAATATTATATCTATCTAACTCTATTCTTCAACACTGGATGGACCCTGGTTTGTGACTTTATTCAAGTATGCAGGAAGATGTGAATATTGTGTGGTGTGTGTGTTTTTTTTTTTTTTTTTTTTTTTTTTTTTTTTTTTTTTTGATTCTAATTGTGGTAATAGGCAGCAGAAATTTCGCATGGCATGAGTGACTAAGTGTCACACTTGCAGTCATACTGATCTAGGCCAAAGTAGAAACCTGCCCCTGTGTATACCCATTAGGTACTGTATACTAACCCTTACATCCTGTCCTGGTGAAATCTCCTAGTAGGTATATCTGCTGGTGACAACTGTAAAATGGGTAATTTCCCCATACGTTGGAGACATTTCTTGTATTAATAGGCAGGAAGTGGGTAACATTTTTGGGAAACAAGAACACAAGTGGCAATAAAAACATGAAGATGGATTTTAATGCCTACTATCTTTATCCAAGACAAAGTGGCGGTGTGTGTGTTTGTGTTTTTTTTTTTTTTTTTTTTTTTTTTTTTTTTTTTTTTTTTTTTTTGCACTTGAGTTAGGTGTTGACTTGCAAACCCTCTCAGAAAAAATGTCTGCTTGGGCAGTCCAAATAGTTATTCTCCAGAGCTAAACTAAGAGAATGTCAACTGTTTTGACTAATTGTGACAGCCAGTGATGTAATACTGTTAAATGTAATTTCATGTGCAGGATGGCATTGAACCCATGTGGGAAGACAGTAGGAACAAAAGAGGGGGGAGATGGCTCATCACTCTGTCCAAGCAACAAAGGCACAGTGACTTGGACACCCTTTGGCTGGAGACGGTAAGTGTGGCACAAGTACAGTTACCATGTATTGCTTGTAGAGTCTGGTAGCCATTGAAAACACAAGATGAGTGGGTCCCATTTTACTGCTGTATAGCCTTCAGTTAGTTTGACAGCGGTGTGATAACACTATAGGATACACAATAAAACAATCCAGTTGACTACAAATGTAAAGGCACCCATGGTGTGGAAAATATCACTGGGCAATGAGAAAACAAAGTGATCTAAGATAAACAGGTGACACACGGTCTTGTCTACAGCTTGGAATGGAGCAGAGCAGCTACTGTAACATGAATGACATGTGTTAAATTGTTCACAGTTGCAAAACAGAGGAATTGATGTATTTTCAGCTTTCACTTTTCTGCAGAGTCAAAGAGGTTAACCGCTTCAAGTTCCAATTATTGCACTGGTTCTAACCATTTGCAGTCTAACTACTAACAAGATTTGCGACCTCACCACCCTGCCTCTCCACCTTGTCCAACCAAAGATTGCTTTGCCAATGTTCATCATAAAGTAAAAAGCATTTTGTTAATGGCAAGGTTAACTAGATCAGAAGTTCACCACAGAAACTATATATGGGTAATTTAACATATACTGCAAGTAAATTGTGCAGCTGCTATCTTAATTGACACAGTTTTAAAAAAACATAGATTATTCTAACAGCGTTATCATGAAATGATGCTGATATGTAACAATGTAGCGCAGATAGGTGAAAGTTCTAGGGAAAATGACATACGGGTATGTCAATGCCTACCTCAGGGTTTTGGACACAGCGGGAGCCTGTCAGCAAGTCCCAGCCAATGTTTCTTAGCTGGGATCTGCTGATTGGCTGTGTCCAATCACTCCCCAGAGCTCTGTTTTTTTTTTTTTTTTTTTTTTTTTTTTTTAGGGACATGTTGGCCATGGCAAAGCTGAGGCTCGTAGCTGCACACGAATGCTCGTGCTGTTGTGTGCAGGGGTGTGCAAGCACACATATGCGCGGGCGTGTACACATGGCAATGCGTATTGGCCAATTCTGGTGCCTAATTGGCCTATATAAGTGCAGAAGCTGCACTAGTGAATTGCTCTCTGATCTGCAGCTCTCCCTGTGTCTGTTCCTGTATTGATCCCCCTGATTGACCCAGCTTATCCTGACTTCACTTGAATGCTACCTGGACTGACCTCTGCTTGCTTCTTGGATTCTGTCTCTGTCTACGGTATCTGCCTCACTGCTGCTGATATTGGCCCGTGACCTGACCTCTCTCCTGCCTGCTGCCTGTGCTTGACCGGCCTGCCTGTTACTGACCTGGCCCGTCTGACCTTGTATCCAGCTTCACCTGCTCTGCCATGTCATCTGCCTGCTCTACTGCGCCACCTCCAGCTAGCCTGCTCTGCAGTTACGTTTGCCTACATACTGCTGCTTCACTCCTGGCATCCTTTCAGCTATTCCTCTGCAGATTAGTGGACTGATCAGGCACTCATACCCCACCGCGCTCTCATGGTTGCTGTTCCTTCAGTGGCCCCTGAGTTGGAGCTGTACAAGAAGCCTTCCTCTACACGTCCGGCTCCTTAACGAGGTATGTGACCTCTGTGTTGGTAACCCCTTGATCGCCTTAGATGTTGACCCCTTCCCAGCCAGTGTCATTAATACAATGACGGTATATTATTATCCCTGATCACTATATTAATGTCATTGGCAGTTGGGCAGTGTTGGATTGCCCGCCACACTCGCAAAGTCCCATTTTATAAGTCGCTGATCATCGCCATTAGTTGTAAAAATATTCTAGTGCATATACCATAGTTTGTAGACTCTATACCTTTTCATGCAAACGAAAAAAAATCTAAATGTCTTCATAATTTTTTTTTTTTTTTTTATATATAATTTTTATATATATATATATATATTATATATATATTTTTTATTTTTAAAATAATTACAAAAAATAATCCAGTGGTGATCAAATGTCACCAAATTAAAGCTCTATTTGTGTGAAAAAAAAATCTAAATGTTTTTAAGAGGGAGAGACCGAGACCCTCCCCTAGTAAGCTAGGGGAAGCTACTGTTCGATTGAGAGGAGGGCTGAGTAGAAGCCTGGGTGTGATGGTCAGAAGCTGATAGGTTCTGCAGGATAGCCCCTTGGGAATTTTCCTATTCTCTACAGCTTTGTTGGCCCCCCTGAGTGAGGACCACCTTTATGGCAGGGAAGGAGCAGCCCAGCTGACAGGCCTGATAGCAGCCACCAGCGGAACAGGAGAAGATCTTTAGTGAGTACCCCTGCTCCCCCTGGGTGGATAGGGGAAGGAGCACTCTGGTGGGGAACCAGATCCGCTACCTATTTGGGACTGTCTATCACTTAAAGTGACAGGAACCGAATCCCCTGATACCACCAGATCACTGGGTGAAGAACAGGAGTTTATCTAGGGTCTGGGGTGGCACATTGGGAGAGGCTGGGTAGCTCTCCAACAGAGACTGTGTTGCAGTGAAGGTTTGTAAATCATTCCAGGAAGTTGTCCTCAGTTCATCAGTTCCTCTGGGCATCCTGTACACCCCTGACCTATCCCAGTTCAAACCCTACATAAAAAAAAAAAAAAATGCTCAAGGACTGATCTGACTCTGTATGCAAGCCTGTGTGATCATGCATGTTGCCTGGCTGTGTAGGACTATAGGGGGCCGTCACTCAGCCGGTCCCAACTTTAAAGTTGGGATCCACCCCAGAGTCTGGAGCGACACCTGGCTCAGCCTCTGATCTGCTGAGCGCCTGCTCCCTCCCCCTCCACAGCGCAGCGTTCCAGTGAGCACAGGGCGGGGGTTTGGTGGTGTTAGAGCAGACAGCTGTGAGAACTTCGCGAACAGCGGTCATGTGATTGCTGAGTTCTCACCTTAGAGCTGTCGAGGGGATAGATGTAACATCTGACCAACGCTGCATCCACCTAGGTAAGTTTCTTTAAAAAAAAAAAAAAAAACATACTTTTTTTTTAACTTGGAGTTGCATATAAGCATAATTTTGTGATAGCGCTGTCAGAATCTTTATATTTATTCTCTTAATGGTGCCTTTGCCAAGTGGCCGACCTCCTGTGTTCACAGTGCAGGAAAGCAACGGCTCAATGTTGGACCCAGAAGCAAGTGGAGATCACTGGAGTAGCAATGCCTAATTTTAGTGATTTCTAGTTTCCTGGAGCATCAGCCAGGTATGGTTTATACATAGTTAACTTGGTCCAAGCTGGAGCAATGTACCTATGCATAACGTGCTAATGTTCTGGAATTTTTTCTTTTTATTTCTAGGAGATCATGCAGACAGAAGCATGAGCAACATGCAATCCTATTCAACCTCATTCAGAAATTGAGGTTGAAAAATGGAATTCCATACTTATTTATGTAGTTATCATACAATCCTCAACATTACTGCACATTGTTTGCAGAAACTATCTTGGTTGGGCATGCTTTTGTTATCAATATGCAACGTGACCAATATCTATGTCCGCTACGTTTTTAGAGTCAGCATAGTGCTAATAAAACTACTGCATTCTGTAATCATGAACACATTTGCTTTGCTGATGTGAAATCTTGCACTGACCAATTCTGTTGTGACTCTTCATATATAAAAATTCAGTGCTTTACTATATGATTTAATGAGCACCATATGCAGTTGAATTCTGCACTGATTAGTGAATGCCATTCTGCGCAAAACCCACACCGTAGATCCCCCATGTACCCAAATGTTCTTTACAGAAAGCTTTTTGGATACATTGCTTGCTATCTAAAATCAATATTTCACCATTTTATTCTCAGCTGTTGTGTCTTATTGGTGAAGCTTTTGATGAATACAGTGAGGAGGTCTGTGGAGCTGTAATTAACATTCGTGCAAAAGGAGACAAAATAGCACTCTGGACCAAAGAGACGGAAAACAGAGAGGCTGTCACTTATATTGGGTAAGTCCTAGCTCGTTAATCATTCTTTTAGATCAAATTACCAGAGAAGGGCATAAATGTTTCCCAGTCCAGGAAATTTGGGATTGATCAGGCTAGGTTTGTAGGAAGGGATGGGCATTGTTTTGGAAATTTGGGAGCGAAGCAGGGGTGAGGGCAGTAAATGTATTTATGCTATTGTATATCTAAAGCCAAAAAATGTTTTTGGATAGACTAGGAAAATTTCACATTAAGAAAAGAATACAGTATTTTTAAGGTGCCTCCAATCGGGTCCCCCATTTTTGAAAAGGCTAAAAAAAATTGTCATTTAATAAATATAAGATCTATAGACTGGAGAAATTGTCAGGGAAGAAAGTGCAGCCGGAGCACAGATCACTAACCTGACAGATGAGAACCAGCATGTCAGGGAGTGGAGGTTGATGTACACAGTGCCGGCCTGCACGTTCCCCCTAGTGAGAGACCCGGACAGCGCTGCAAACGAGGCTGAAGGAGGACCGAAAAAAACACTGCGGGTAAACTGGGTGAGGAATGGGGGAATTGAGAGGGTGATTGGTGCACAGGTCCAAGACATAGAGCACTGGCGTCTGTCTACCCAGCTGCCTTATGGTGGCGTTGGATCTGCCAGTGAGGGAGACTGTCACCAGCACAGAGAGGATCACCAATATGGGTCCAAAAGTTTTAATGAACGATCACATAGGTACATGCCTGATGAAGGGGGTCCTGCGAGACTGCAAAATGTTGCCTTGCTGTAACTATGTGATCGTTTATTAAAACTTTTGGACCCATATTGGTGATCCTCCGTGTGCTGGTGACATACTCCCTTGCTGATTCTGTTCGGTTCCAGCACCCATTTATACACACAGCCATTTTTAATGCAGGAACGTGTGCGTTTAGATTGTACACTTAGATCATGCTAGCAGGAGAATGGAAATTTTGAGGTGCATCTGTGAGAGACTAGCAAGCCCTCAATAAAATTAGACTACATGAAGAAAACTTGGAAAGATCTAATAAAACTGTCACTGAAAATGTAAACTCCATCTACCTTTTTAGTAAGAAACTATCATTCACAATTTTATTTTATTTTATTTTTCTCCTGTCTGGGGAGTAATTGGTCACCCCTATAAGTCTGATGGCAGAGTTCATCATATAAGCAGAACATTTGATACTGCAGGCTGATTTGCTCAACTAGCTACAGGCCAGGCTGTCTGGTCTTATTTCTGACCAATGTACTGTAAGTAGTATGAAGGGAAGTGTACAGAGGTCTGCAGTATGAACGGCAGAGAATATGGATCAGTAAGGCGGAGGACAGGGGTAAGGTGGTCATGGGTTAGCAGGGCAGAGAACAGGGGGGGCTCAGGAGGGTGCAGGACAGGGGTTCAGAAGGGTAGGGCCTGCCACTGCAGCCTAAGGATTAGCTGTGCTGTCAGGGCTCGGGAGGGTACGCTACAGGGGGGTCAGCGTGTGGTGTGATGAGAGCCTACCTTACTAGGACTGATAGGTAGAATTGGCCAATGATCCAAGGATCAATTCGAGAGGGCTGTTGAGTGCAGAGAGCAAAGGGAACAATGATCTTCATATCACTTGGAAGTTGCACTATCTGCAACTTTGCAGGAACATGGTTAATAGGGCGGAGATTCAAGTGTCAAATTTCAAATAGATTACAGTAAGACCTTGGGCATGTTTGGGAAAAGAGCCCAAACTATTCCAGAGGCAGCCCTCACTCCTTGCATACATGTGGCTATGGGGCGGGAGCTAGTTCTACATTCTAGGATTGGCAGAGCGTTCGCTTGTGCTCAGGGGCGGACTGACAACTCATTGGGCCCCCGAGCAATAGGGGATCATGGGGCCCCTGTGTCCTTGCCAAAACTCAAAGCCTATGAAAAAGATACCAGGGGCATCTCATGGGGCCCGCTACTTACCCCGGCCCTCGGGCAGTGCCTGAGTTTCCAAATGGTCAGTCTGTTCCTGCTTGTGCTGCTCCGGGGAAAAGCTCTTGGTCAGCAAGGCAGGGAGACATTCACAATCTACTGGTCACCTGCCTGTGGTTGGCCAGTAGATCGCAATCTACAAGGTCCCGACCTTGGCCCTAAACCTTCCTCAGACCAACTTGATAGCCCCTTCTTGGTACAGAATCTTTAGTTCAGACCCCCCCCCCCCTTTTTTTTTTTCTTTTGTATGACAAAAAGGGGTAACCCTCCTGCTGCTGTCCAACGAGCATGATGGAGAACCAAAATAATAGCACAGTGGGGAGATCACTGTACTGACAATGTATAGTTGGCACAGAAACCTTCAGGTTTTTTTTTGTTTTTTTTTTTGTTTTTTTTCGTTCAGCCTGCTTGGTTGAACGAATAGAAACCTACTGCGTGTACCAGGCATTAGGCTAAATGGTAGCTGGTTTGTTACACCACTGTGAAGGTGGGGAGGAAAATAAAATCCTTTTCTAGATGGGGAGCTCACCAGAGGGATCCTGCAGTCCTATGGATTGCCAGTCTCTTCCAATGCTTCTCTACCCTTGTGTCTAATTTAAACAAATATGCAGATTTTGTATGTTCAGCAGGTGTGACTAAGTTCATTATGGGAATGAGATCTGATAAAATGCTACTGTTTAGTTTAAAGTACCCTTCTTCCTTTTTATTTTTCAGCCGTGTTTATAAGGAGAGACTGGGCCTGTCCTCCAAGGCAGTCATTGGTTATCAAGCACATGCAGATACAGCCACAAAGAGCAGTTCTCTTACCAAGAACAAGTTTGTGGTTTGAAGACTCTCCATATTTCCACAAATCTCAAATGCTGTGCACACACTTTCGTTATTGTGGTAAACAAGGATGTTTAATTTATTTTTTGAGCAAATAAAAAAAACAAAACAAAATTGTAGGGTTTTTTTTTTCCCACCCTTTGTCCTCCTTTGCATGAGGACTTTACATGTACTGTATACATATTAATGTGACCTAATAACCAGATACATAAAAAAAAAAATATCTGGACATATACAGTATACATACTGGCCAGTATTAAAGACCTAAGTGTGTCTTTTTTATATAGTGGTCCCTTCAAATAAATGAAACCTGTCAGGGAGATGTCCATTGCAGAACCCCTTTTTTATATGAATGTTGTGTATATACAGTCAGGTTTCAACAATGTTGCGTATGTGCTGTGGTAAAACAAGGGGATAAAATGGCTTTAAAAAATTTAGCATTGCATGTAGTGCACTGTGGTGGAGCATGACGATAATAGTTATAGTATATAGACAAATCCATCCAGTTCAACCAAAGAAATAGTGGCATCCTTTTGATGGTGACAGGCGTGTGGGGGATTGAATTGCAGTAAAAATAATGTAAACTTTACAGAACGTAGGCAAAAAGTATTCACTGCTAAATGTGGACCCGCAAATGGGCAATTATATACAATACACAGGCAACAAACAGTACAAATGTTGTGTGGCAGTAAATGGGCAATACAATGAAAATGGTACCACTAGAAAACACCCCAAAACTGCATCATTTTCGGATCAGCATGTGAATAGACTGGTGCAAAATAGACAGGATTGACTTGTAAGACTCTAGTAGACTTCAACAAAATGGTGTCTGGAGATGCTGACTTCCTATTGCATAAATGTGAAAGATGGGTTAAAGATGGCTTCAGCTCCTGTTCTCCACCTGTACAGAACTCCTCTTCAGATGTGTTTGCCCTTTTTGGGGCTTATTCATAGAGCTTTGCGAATACCTACCAAAAGGGTGAAATGCATCGAAGACTTCTCTACAGGGGGAAGAACAGGAGCTGAAGCTATCTTTTACCCACTCATTGAAATTTATGCAACAGGGAGTCTGTGTTCATGTTCGAATGGCCACCATTTTGTTGAAGTAAATGGGCAATATTGATATGTGAGCAGAACACGGCTATTGTGACAACAGGTGGGCACAGACAGGCAATTTTGACTAGCCTACAGAGCCAAGGAGGAGCTTAGGAGGGCTTCAGAAAAAAACACTATCTGAGGTCAGACCAGGCTGCAATGCGCATTACGCCTACAGTATGTAGGTGGTCCTGCTGATGTGTGTGTGTGTGTGTGTGTGTGTGTGTGTGTGTGTGTTCTATATCCTATACCAAACATAATGGGGCTCCTTCTCATTTTTCTTTGGTGCAGAGAGTTACCTTGACAAAACCTTCCCACTGGATCTAGCATCATGGAAGCATTGAAAGGCCCCTATGTTCACCTAACCTAACTCCTATGGATGTGTGGTGGATTTATTTATTTATTTTTTTTTTTTGGAGGGGGACATATACTAAAGTATAAGAATTTTGAGAGGAAGCCTGGAAAAGTAGACTAATTGAAGGGCTCCATCTCCAAAGCATTTTTGGAGATTTACACAACTTGTGTTGTGTGTCACTGTATCGGTCAGGATCCAGAAATGATGCTGTATTGATGGAGGACATTACAAGAACCCAAGACCTCATATCAGAGTGTCACATTCGTGTATATGTAAACATAGCTAATCTATGCTGTCGGGGTAGTCACTGGGTGGTGCCTGGTTGTGAATACAAGATAAGGAATGAAGGAGGGAGGACTGAATACTGATTAACATCATGTTTATTTTTATTTGGTACAACTGGCCACACATTTATACCAATTTCAACTTTTTTATGGATCTGCAATCTAGACTAGAAACACACTTGTGCCTTAATCACAACAGTAATTGACATTTTAGCAAATGCAGTTATAAATGTTACCCCTAAAATTGTGAGGGTGAAGATGTCTGCAATATGGGAATAACCAGTTGCCAAACACAACATTTGACCCAAATTCAAGAAGACCCAAGATTGACCCACGAAGAGCTTCTTTAAGTCCATGTTCTGTATTTCCTATTTCATATGGACCAGATCATTCTGGAAAACAAAACTGCTTTTGTATAAGAGTGGCAGAAAGTAACTATTTGCTTATGAACCAATCATATCACAGCTTTCAAGAGAGACTTGTAGCTATAAACAAATTTTCCCCTTGATATTTTTTTAACCTCTGTGTGAATGCTATTTTTAGGAGAATACAGAGCTGCTAATAGCCATACGCCACAGATTTGTTTTACCCTAGGCTCACACCTGTGTGGGTTTGCGGTCTGCGATTGCATGGGCACAGCAGCCAATTCATTTGAACCGCAGTTCTGTGCCGTGCAATTTAGACTTATTAATTTTGAATGGGCTAAAATCGCACTGCACCACACCAAAAGTAGTGCATGCACGGCTTTTGAAAACGCACTGCAACTGGATTGCATGATACAAAAGTATTATGCCATCTGGTGCAGGCAAGGGAGGGGCTGCACACTGCATTTGAAATTTGTGTTTTGGATATCGTTAACCTCATATTGACACCCGCTGCAGATCAGAGTGTGTTGCATGCAGTCTGATTCACACAGGAACGCACATCACGTTCTTCTGGGATTCATGTGCCGACATTGTGTGAACCAGCCCAAGTTTGTATTTTTTTTTTTTTTTTCGTTAAATAAAAGTGTTGTAAATTGTGGGATTGCACTGGGACCATCCTGAAATTGATTAAAATTCTGAGATTAAAAGTCAGAATTCTGAGAATAATACTTGGGGCTCTTCTGCAGTAAGTACATGTAATGTAACATACCAAAAAAATTGCTATCAGAATCTGTTTTGTTGATTATGCTGCTAAATATGACAAGACCAACACTGTAATGTGGCAGTCTCTATTAAAAAAAAAAAAAAAAAAAAAAAAAAAAAAAGAAATCAACAAGCTGCGGTGCCTGAAGAGTAATTACCTCCTTGGGTTAAAGCTACGGGGTGATTATTCAGCAATTCAGCTGCATTACTAAAGTCTTAGGAGATGAATGGATATATTTGTATCAAATGTATTTTATGTAAGCTATTTTAGTAGTGCAATTGATCTCCCACAGCTGCACAGTGCTGCAATTTTAATGAAGTGGTAGAAACTATTAAAAATTGTCCTTGTAACCCTACCATTGCTCCATTAAAGGAGAAGTATGGCTAAAGCTCTTTTGTCTACACTTCTATGGATCACCGAAGTGCAGTTCGTTCTGCATTCATGTGACCCATTTTCAGCCAACAGCAAGCTAAAGCCAGCTGTTGGCTGACTTCACTCAGCTGGTCCAGGCTCTAGAAAGTACCCAATTTTTACAGGGTTTTCTAGTAAAAAAAACACAGTACTTACCAGGGGCGGACTGACCATTTGGAAACTGGCACGGTCCGGGGTCAGTAGGGGGCCCCATGAGATGCCCCTGGTACACTTTTTTTTTTTTTTTTTTTTTTTTCATAGGCTTTTTGAGTTTGGGCAAGGACACAGGCCCCATGATCCCCTATTGCCCGGGGGCCCCATGAGTTGTCAGTCCGCCCCTGGTACTTGCCCGCCTAGCGAATCCAGCACTCTCCTGTAGTGATCCACTGTTAGGGTGTCAGAGCTTCTGCCCCATGCCTCCATCTAGGTCCTCTTCAGCTGGCTTCCTCTTCCAGATTCAGACAGCCCAGCCCTCTGCTGTTCTGTGGATGGGTTCCTGTGGCTTGCTGGAATGTGTGACAAGGTTATCACAGGGGGCTGCTAGAGTATGACACATCATTTTGGCCTGGGCCATAAAAACACAAAGGTTCAGCCTTTGAGGAAGTCCAGTATGGTTGCCACGCTAAGCTAAGTGACATCACATTGGTGGAGCTTAGGCCCCATCTTGGCTTCAAGGCTGTGTTACTGTGTGTTGATGTCATTTTAAAGAAACGCTAACGTGTGTGCAATGTTTTTCTTTATATTAATAAACAATGCAGTTTTACACTATGGGGATTTCTTCTGTTTCTATTCTATGAGCGATCCATTAAGAGAAACGTGTTAAATAAGTGACTGAAATTTTGAGAGACTTGAAGTGGTGGAGAGATTTAAAGCACTGTCTAGCCTCCTGTTTATATTTTGTGTCCAACCTAGAAGGTGAGGGCACACCCATTTGTGCACTATGGTGGTGTTTGATTACACAATGAATGGATTATTGGTCACAGTGAAGATAATATATTTATTATTCAGTTGGAATTTTTTTTTTTTTTTTTTTTTATGGACTTTTTCACAGAAGAAATCAAATTTTAAGACATTGTATGACTTGCACGCATGTCACTTGTTTTTAGAACACTTATTCGCACTAATGGTATATAATGTGCACATGTATTTTTGCATGGATATGTTTGTTTATGCATTGGTAATTGATTCACTGTATGTGTTTAATGTTGTGATTCAGATATTTTTATTAGGATTATGTAGAAATATTAATTGCACACTTTTTTTTAATAGATTTTTCTGGGTTTTCAGGAGCGCTTCAATATATATTTTTCTTTCTTTTTCATACGGTATATACTCCCCTCTATGTGCAGCATTGGTGTGATGCTGCAGCGGTACCATGTTGGCTCTGAGACCGAGAACTGAGCGAGTTCTCGGTCTACTTGGACTGGAAAGCAGTGATTGTCAATCACTGCTTTGTGCTCAACCCCTCCAGCGCTCACTGGAGAAGAGGTGGCCTCAGTTGGCTTCAGCTGTTCGCTGAGAGGTGGAGCCAACTACCAGGCAGCTGGGTGGATCCCAACAAAATTGTCAGGATCTTTCCAGACCCTAGAGTAGCTCTGTCACATCAGCTGACAATGGGTTATAGCTTGCTGTAGGTTGATTCTGGGTCACAGGAGAGGGAAAGTAACTGCAGTCCTGTGACCGACATGAGAAGTATGGCCAAAAAAGATTCTCCTTTTAATGTCTAACTAG